GTGACTGTTCTAATCAGGCTAAAAGAGTCTGGGGGAATGGGACATTTGGTGGAGAAAGTTAAAGCTCATTCCCAGACCTGCAGACACCCGGATGTCAGGAAATAATGAAGCGAGGCTGACAAGATGGATTTGTACAACATGCACAGTAAGTAGCACAGTATGCTAGGTCTAGAAACCCACTCACAGAGAACTTTTCTTCTTTTCTTTTCTTTTCTTTTTTCTTTTCTTTTCTTTTCTGAGACAGAGTCTGCTTTGTTGCCCAGGCTAGAGTGAGTGCGCTGGCGTCAGCCTAGCTCACAGCAACCTCAAACTCCTGGCTCAAGCAATCCTGCTGCCTCAGCTCCTCGGTAGCTGGGACTACAGGCATGCTGCCACTATGCCTGGCTATTTTTTCTCTATATATTAGTTGGCCAATTAATTTCTTTCTATTTATAGTAGACATGGGATCTCGCTCTTGCTCAAGCTGGTTTTGAACTCCTGACCTTGAGCAATCCATCCGCCTCAGCCTCCCAGAGTGCTAGGATTACAGGCGTGAGCCACTGCATCCGGCCCACTGAGAACTTTTCTATTAGAACGTGTTGTGTTTACAACATGTCTGAAAAAGTTAAACAAAAGAAAACAATGGAAAGAAAAGAAACCTTGGGTTGTAGCTCTACTACTGCCTTTCAATAGCAAATTGTAGAATGTAAATATATTAATAATAAAAATATATATTAATAATAGACTGCTCTTTGGGATTAAATCCTACATTCTGCCAGACACTGTGCTAGAAGCAAGGCACTGTGTTATTTCATCCTAACAACAGCTCTATAAAATTTTAGAGAAGTGAAACAGGCAGTGAGATTTGAAGGGAAGATTACAATCACTAGAGGACCCAAAAAGGTGCTTCTGTCACAGTTATCAACAGGAAGCGTTCTCACAACAGGAAAACTCAAAGTGTAGAAATATTAATAGCAAGGGCAAGAGAAGAGCCCGGCCATTAATCCACAGAGGTGGAAAGATGACAATGAGGATACACATGGTTTTTGTTTGTTTCTTCTAATGGTCAGTGTGATGTTTGATTTTCTAAGTACATTTATTTTCCAAGTACGTTTTATTTCAAAATCGTCCCTAAATTCCTTTTCCGCTTCTGTTTTTATATTCAACGTGACTGATATTAAACTTTGGTTCCACAATGGCTTTGTCAAAGGCAAACACATGTTTCTGCAGTGTCAATTTTACTCAAAACTTTTTGGGAAAAAGGCATTGTTAAATTGAGATAAACATTTTGCTTTCCACACTGCTGGGGTGGATCAGAGTCACATGAGAAATGCTATAGGGTGCATGGACACTTGGTTTTGGCCATCATCCCTTAGTGATTAAAAATCACCCTAGAGACAAGGTTAAGGAGACACACTTCATCTGCAAAAGAGGGGTGTGAGAGGTGACCACAGGGTTATACCAGTGTCAGTTCATTCTGAGAAAGAGAAAAATGGGACCTAAATTAAAGTAGAAATGATTGAAGACTTTTTCATTGCTGGGTAAAGGGCAGCTACCCCAGTAGGAGATTAGAGAAGATGCAATTATTCAGGAAAGTGGGAAGAATAATAAAAAGTCAGATTCTAATCCTAACTTGGCTACTATGTATACATCCTGTGATAAGTCAGTTATGCTTTGGGATCAGTTTCCTCATCTATCAAATAAATGACTTACATTATGGATTTCAAACATTTAACTAAACCCACAGCAGGAAATATGCATGTGTGCAACACTTTTTTTCAAGCTCTTAAATCTCACAGGTACATGTACAGGAGGAAGATACTTGGTTTGTTCTATCTATAATTCTAAATCCTTAAGATTAAAATGTAATTTCAAAACACTAATATTTAATTTTTTTTCCCCCACAGTGTTTCCCTTCTTTAAAAAAAGTCCAGTTGCCTTCTCTTAGCAAGCTGCCTTTCAAATCAATAGATCAAAAGTTTATGGAAAAGTCAAAGAATCAATTAAATAAGTTTTTACAGGTAAGCAAGTGAAAAGTTTTGGATATGAGAGGAAAAATTAGTTACTTGGGGTGAAATTGTCATCATTCTAAGAGTTTAGTATTTTGCTTTTTGTTCTCAAAATTCATGCCAGATCCTCAAAACAACTTTAGTCTTTTTTTGTTAATTCAAGTATAACATACATAAAAAAAATTACACATAAGTGTACAACTGTCTTCATTTTCACAAACTGACCACCCCCATATGACTAGCACCCAGTCCAAGGAACTGACTGTCTCCTGTACCTCCGGCTCCTCCCCATCATAGCTGTCCCGACTCCCAAAAGCATAGGTCAGTGTAATTGGTTTTGAACTTCATGTGAATGGAACCAGTGTGGTTCCTTTGTGTCTGACTTCTTTCACTCAACATTATGTTGGTGAGATTCATCCACAGTGGTGTTTTAGTTGTAGATCATTCGTTTTTCATTGTGTGAATATGCTCTAGTCTATTCATTCTGTTGTTGATGGGCGTTTGGCTAGTTTCCAGTTGGAGGCTGTTACTAAGAGTGCTTCTATAGACTTCCAGTACTTGTCTTTTGGTGAATATATGTTGGGAAGAGATTTTGAGAATGTCTATTCAAGTTCTTTGCCCAGTTTTTCATTGGATCTTTTGTTGTTGAATTTTAGGAGTTCTCTTTGTACTGTGGATATTAAACCTTTACCAGATGTGTGATTTGAAAATATTAATATTTTCTTCTAGGCCGGGCGTGGTGGCTCACGCCTGTAATCCTAGCTCTCTGGGAGGCCGAGGCGGGCGGATTGCTCGAGGTCAGGAGTTCGAAACCAGCCTGAGCAAGAGCGAGAGCCCATCTCTACTATAAATAGAAAGAAATTAATTGGCCAACTAATATATACAAAAAATTAGCCGGGCATGGTGGCGAATGACTGTAGTCCCAGCTACTTGGAGGCTGAGGCAGGAGATTGCTTGAGCCAGGAGTTTGAGGTTGCTATGAGCTAGGCTGACGCCACGGCACTCACTCTAGCCTGGGCAACAAGGCGAGACTCTGTCTCAAAAAAAAAA